GTCCCATAGACAATATATATATATATATATCACTCTGGGTGGTCACTGCGGGCGACTGTGAACAACATTTGTGAGGGAGTTTCCAAAATGACTTGAAACATTCAGAGATTCACTTTCATTTTAGAAATGGAACATGTTGGGAAAATCTACAAGGGAAATTTTCTCTAAAAATAGTCAAGGATTGTCACATGCATCTGGAATCTGTCTCAAACCCTTTTCCTTTAATTTATGTCATTCCAAAGCATTAGAGCATTTATTTTTTGTCAATATGTATCCAGAGTCACAAATAATTTATTGTCAGGAGTTTGAACAAAAAATTTGAACTAAAATTTTTACAGTTTCTCTTTATTTTGTATTTCCAATAAGTCCCAAACAGCAGCAGTGCAGCAAGATGCCGGCTTAACCTGCAATTTATTTATTTTTTAAAGTCCCATAGACACGTTTCCCAACAGGAAGTCAGCCATTTTGGATTAAAGCCATGGTTTTATGCGACTTGCACATATTTTGGTGATTTGGTAAGATTTCAAACAAATATACAAACATCTGACCAGCACTAAAGTCAACATCTAAAGATGTTTCAACAGTTCAGCCCTGGATCAAACTTTAATGACAGGTGTATCATTTTGTACATGTATAACATTTAAAAACCGACTGCGAATGCCTCTTGAACGCAAACTCTAAATCCAACAGCAAGTCAATACATTTGGATTGAAGAAGGTATTTAAAAAATGTACAAGTTATATTTAAACAAACCCCTAAAGACTTTCGCAGCTCCACCTAAAACTTCTAAATTTACTCCATTAGGATTTATTGAAAGTTCGATTTAAGATGCTTTGCTTTCATGACTAAACTACTGAAGACTGGAATTTAGAGACGAATGGTGTAACTCACCAGAAGCTCCCGGTACTTTGGCCTCTTTGATTCATCCTTTGTAAGGCTGTACAAGGGGTAAAAACGGTATAATTAATTGTAAGCAGGGCATTAAAATAATTTCAGTTTTGTGATTTAAATACAAGTATGATGGCGAATACACAGGGCCTCATGGATACGATAACCAATAGGTCTTAAAAATCCCAAAATGACATTTATGGATCGTTTAACTAGTGATGAAATTATACAATATCTTAATCAATGGATGCTTACCATAGGTTAACAAAGTTGATAAACTTGGGGGAGAACTGTCTCTCTTCTGAGTTGCTGAGCTGAGGAGGTTCTCCTTTCACCACTTGTGTCAGCTGATCAAAAACACTATTCCACTTGGGGTAAGGAAAGCGTCCTGTGGCCAACTCATACTGCAAACAAATCCAAAGAGAAGCTAATTGTGGGAAAATGCAATATTTTCCTCTTATCTTGTCCAACTGGCTGAAACTTGGTTTCATGCCATGATTGTCTCACCAGAGTGATTCCCAGGCTCCAAACATCAGAGCGGACATCGTAGCCTTGTCTGGAAGCGCTGGGGTCTATTCTTTCAGGCTGACAACAACAAAAACACAAACAAATATTCTGCAATTCACATATTCATATGCAATTCATTTTCACAGATGGGACACACATCGGAGGAAATGTTCAATGTCTTTGCCCAGGGGCACTTCAACATGTGACTGCTGGAGGTATCGAACCCCCAACTCTCCCCACTGGAGGATGACTGCTCTAACCACTCAGCCGCAGCTGCCCCAAGAGAGCTAATTGAACTACCGTATTTTTCGCCATATAAGTTGCACCTTTGCGCTTAAATTTGCAAGTCCTGCGACTTATACACCGAAGCGACTAATATACGTTTCTTTCCATATTTACAAACAAATTTTTGTCTGAGGTCTGATGATTTCATTCATTCTGACATGGAAAAAACTGAACATTACCATTTGCAGTCACTAGAGGGCCCTCGAGAATTATGGCAAGCCAAGTGTCTCATTAATAGATAAAAGCGGCTATTAATGAGACACTTGGGTTGCCATATAGCCACCTTCGTCTAGCTCCATAACTCCTGGAGCAAACGACAAATCAGCTGAATTTTGCTGCGCTGCCCAGGTGAAATGCAGCCGATTTAACCATTAAAATGCATTTATTAAAGAAAAGTTCAACTGAGACACATCTTTGCTATAAGTTTGAGCAACAAATAATTGTTTTTAAGTGTTAATCTTGTTAAAGTCCTCCCGTGCACGCTCCTGCGGCCGCCATTTGGCAGCCAATCGATTTTTGGCACAACACCAGCCCATGTTTCCGTGTTGTCAGCGGTGACGCATAATAGGTGCAACTTATATGGCGAAGCAACTTGTTTATGTCCCCCCCCCACACACACACACACACACACACACGATGTCCAAGATGGCCGCGCTCAGAGCAGTTGCAGCTTCACAGGCTCCCGGTACCATCCCAGTTTTTAGAAGTTTTGATATTGACTCTGTGCCTGACTCTGCGCGATTTATGCGTGTGAACTATAGCCGAACCGAACTGATGAGAATAGGAGCGGATTTGCCACGAAATATAGCAGAAATCAGCAACAAACTCAAAGCTACGCTCGGCAGAATACAGATCTTAAAGTCATCTACCTGGAAGCTGCAGCAGAGGCGTTCCAGCGGGCAGAAGAGGAAGCGCTGCTCCCGGCTTAAGAGGAGAGGATGCCGGGCGGGGGTTATGGTGAGGCTACGAGCCAACGCTAAAGCCGGTAAACTCCCCATGCCGTCTCGTTTTCTGTCGAATGTCCGCTCGTTGGACAACAAGGTGGATTTACTTCGTCTGAGAGCGGGCGCCTCAGAAGAGATGAAGAAGTGTGCAGTGCTTTGCCTCACAGAAACGTGGATTACAAGCGGAACGCCGGACACAGTCTTCCAGCTGGATGACAGACTTTGTTTTCGAGCGGACCGCTGCAGCGAGCTAACGGGGAAATCACGGGGAGGCGGAGTGTGCATTTACGTGAGTAAAAGTTGGTCCACGAACTGTACTGTTGTAAATAACTCATGCTCGAAGGCTTTGGAGCAAATAACAGTGAAATGTCGGCCACATTATCTACCCCGAGAGTTCACAGTGACTTTTATCACAGTTGTTTACATTCCTCCGGACGCTAATGCTAATGAATCACTACAGGAGCTTCATGATATCATCAGCTTGCTGCAGAACAAACACCCCGAGGCTCTTTACGTGGTAGCCAGAGACTTTAACCACGTGAATCTAAAGGACTGTCTCCCAAGCTTTAATCAGCATGTGACGATTCCGACACGTGGAGACCGCACGCTGGACCGTGTTTACACAAACGTAAAAAATGCATACAAAGCCGAACCCCGCCCCCACCTAGGACTGTCAGACCACATCTCAATCTTCCTGGCTCCTGCTTACATGCCCCCGCTGAGACGCTCCAGACCGGTACAAAAGAAAGTTAAATGTTGGAGCCAGGACAGTGGACCCATACTGAGAGATTGTTTTGATCGAACAGACTGGCAGGTTTTCAGAGAAGCTGCTGAAAATGGAGGTTCGCTTGATCTTGACCAATACACATCCTCAGTCCTGGGTTACATTAGTACATGTACTGACACAGTATCCACTATCAGAAATGTTAAAAGCTACCCAAACAGAAAACCTTGGCTGAATGCAGAGGTGCGTACCCTGCTGGAAGCCAGGAACACTGCCTTCAGGTCTGGAAACTCAGAGGAGCTGAGTAGGACAAGAAAAGAGCTGGTTGCTGGTATTAAGAGGGCCATGGCCACATATGCAAAGAGGATTGAGGGTCAATTCATCTCACAAGACCCTCGGAGCATGTGGAGGGGCATTAAGTGCATAACAGATTATAAAGGAAGGAGTGAACAATGCCCCAAAGACCCATCTCTGCCTGATGCCCTCAACAAGTTCTATGCACGCTTTGAAGACCCGAACAGACCACCCAGCACCAGACTCACCTCGCCACCGGATGAAGAGCATCTCAGCGTGACCTCAGCAGAAGTAAGGAGTACCTTCAGGAGGATTAATCCACACAAAGCAACTGGCCCAGACAACATCCCCGGAAAAGTGTTGAAGGAATGTGCTGATCAGCTCTGTGAGGTGCTGGCAGACATCTTTAACACCTCACTTACCCTGGAGACAGTTCCCACCTGCCTGAAGACTGCCACCATCATCCCAGTCCCAAAAAGCTCTACAGTGACTGGTCTGAATAACTATCGGCCAGTGGCCCTCACCCCGATAGTCGCTAAATGCTTCGAAAAACTGGTCATGACTCACATCAAAACAACCATCAACATCAACGAGGACCCTCATCAGTATGCATACCGTAAGAACCGATCAACAGAGGATGCAATCTCCTCTGTGGTCCACACTGCGCTCAACCACCTGGAGCAGAAAAACTCTTACGTCCGTATGCTCTTTGTGGACTTCACATCCGCCTTCAACACCATGATCCCCCAAACCCTGATGGACAAACTATCCACACTAGGACTAAGCCCCTCCATCTGCAACTGGGTACTAGACTTTTTAACAAACAGACCACAGTTAGTGAGGATCCACAACCTCTCCTCCTCCACCATAACCCTCAGCACTGGCTCTCCTCAGGGATGTGTGTTGAGCCCCCTTCTGTTTACTCTGCTCACATATGATTGTGCAGCTACCCATCCAGGCTGTCACATTGTAAAGTTTGCAGATGATACAGCGGTGGTGGGATGCATCA